CTGACGCGCTGAGATAGAAGCCGCGATCGGCTCGAAGCGCGTCCGAAGCCGTGCGCACCACGCATCCCACGTGTTGTACTGGGCGGTTTCGCAAAATGAACTCCAGGTGACGGCTGGACCCGTGGGCCCTTCCTCTTGCGACGGCGGCTCGTAGGCACATGGCAACGTCACGATGACTCGCCACCAGTCCCTGGCAGGGCCCCGTAGCAGCGAACGACGTATCGTATCTTCGCTGCGTCCGACTCGACGTGATTCGTGTCGAAGAAGACGTTCATCGTGAAGACTTATGATTGAACCGTCGGACCTCCGCGTTGGCTGGGGTCGAAACATGGCAGGCGTTGCGGCTTGAGCGGCATTGGTGCGACGATGTTGTCGTGACCGCTCGTTGCTGCAAATTCAACGTGACGACAGGCTTTGCGAGGCCCGCTCGTGCTTGGTGCGACCCGGTACTCTCCATGCCGGGCATTGATTGGGTGACGCCATCACTGCCTTCTCCTGAGTGCTGTCCCACGTTGTCGTGATGTGACGGTGTGCCGGATGAAATGACAATCGGCTCATCCGATTGCAGAGATGCATTTGAAGGTGCTTGTGTTGGTTCTGGTGCATTCACTGTTGATTGCTGGCAGGCGGAGTCACGTTCCGCCATGAGTGTCGCGATTTCGAGCACCGAATCCTCGAGTTGGCGGACGAGCCGGCCGAGTTGCTCCTGCGTCAATGTCGCGAGAGTGAGGTCGGCCATGGTGGGGGTGTCGGGCAAGCTCAGCGAGAGCCTCAGTCGTGGTCGTACGTGCTTTCGAGAGAGCACTTCGAGCGGCAGTGCCTGAATGCTAAGAGACGTTTACCCCCCTCCAAAAACTGAGATAGTGGGGAAGCGAAGGTGTGCGTGCGGTCCCAGAAGAGACCGCAGGCTCTGAATACCAAATGTTACGGGTGCAGTTGAGCGAGCGAGCGATAATTGCACTATCGAAGCAAACAATACAATGAGCGAAGGCATGAGCAAAGAATGTATAGCAAAACTAGAGTGGTAACGGTAACGCGAGGAAATGGGGTGCGCTACGGGCCTAGCGCCGAGGTTGGGAAATGTCAAGGCGGAGGTCCGGAGCGCGGGTTACCAACCGAACCGTGTGGTTGGGTCGCATCGTGAACAGTGGCGGGAGTCGTAGTCGAGGCAAGTGTCGCGAGCTGGTAACCTTTCACTAATGGGTGCCGAAGGCAGGAATGGTCTTGTACGCGGTAAGCAGGGGCGCGAAGTAAGGAAAAACTTACAGGTGGTAAGTCACCTCGAACGGTCGAACAAGTTCAGGTTAGAAATGTAATGGTTTGAACCAAACATTTTTAGCAAAAGAATGTGTTTCAACTCATGTTTAGGTGCAAAAGCTGCCAGCTGCAAATTGTTTTGCACAAACATGAGCTACCGTAGCAGAATGGAAGGGTTTATGCCCAGAGCAACCATGTTAGCACAGTTTCATAGTTTGCATCGGTGGATGACTGTAGCAATAACAAACACAAGAACGTTTTACTTGTTCCATGGTTGTCTGCATTCTTAGATTTGTTGTGGAGAGCAGTCAGCACGGCCTATAGCCAATTTCTAGACAGAAAACCAGACCAGGCTTCTATGCATGATTTTACATGCTCCATCAGTCCGACTCCCCACATCTTGCCATCCATCCATGTGAACCCGTTTCCCATCACACCAGGTCTCTGGATCAAAACATGTTGGTGGGGTCCATTCCTTCAACCTTTGTCAACTTAACCAACCTCTCATACCTGTTAGTTGCAAATAGTATTGTTTTCCAGAAACTGCTGCTCTTTGCAATAAATGTTTGTTGAAGGAGCTGTTTGGTGCAAGAGATAATAGGTGTGCATGCATTGCTGTAATTTGCGTGAGCTGTTAAAGATAAGAACTGTTACCTGTGAATGTTTAAACTCCACGAACCAAGCATCTGTAGGTTGCATGAACTGCTAATTGCAACAGCATTTAGTCGAAACAATTATTAGTTGCAATGCAAGAACTGCTAGCTACCAATTGTCAGTCGAATACAGTAGGCATGAGCTAAGTTGGAATATACGTATATATCGTATATATGCGTATTGTATATACGCTACCATATATACGCTATCTGCTTAGGCTGGTTTGGACATACGCTATTTCGGGCAGGGGAAAAACTTTCCTGGGCAGGATGAAAGAAAATGCCGTGCTCAACATCGGGAACGAATTCCATGTTCTCACTAAGAATTTCGTAGCATTCTCCTAAGTCTGAACTGCGATTAGGGTGGGATGTCTAGTAGACACTATCGCTAGAAGGAGTAGGAATCGGGACGAGCTCTGTTGGGAAGCGGGAAAGCAAACTAGTGGAAATGAGTGCAATTGGGCTGACTGGTAAGTGGCGTGAGTGGGGTTTGTCGGGGGGACATTTTTGACAGGTTGGGGTTCGTAGATGGGATGGGTTTCAATGTGGTACTAATCAAAATTGTACATCTGAACTGCCACACGCGATTGTAAGGGACATTCCCACTTCCCTAGACCCCAGAATTGCATCTCGACTATGGCGAAATGCTCACTAGGAGATTCCGCATCTTTCCGTATACACACGATTTTTTTTCCCCGGGCAGCCCCTAAAAAAATCTGAAAGCGTATAGCGTACTAGCTAACGTATAACGTTTTGCGTATGAACGCAAGCGTATATACGCTATACAACGCTTTAGGGTCTGAGCGTATATTTCAACTTAGGGCATGAGCATTGACCATCTCTCCAGTAGCTAAAAAAACGCCTCGGGTGGGTTCGTGATAACCTAAAGGAGCCATGTCAGGACACTTACAACAAAATTCTGCTCATGTTTGTTATGTGATTCATTGAGCAAACGTGCTAAAAACATCCCGCATCCCTCCCTCCTTGCTTTTCCCCTTCCTCCCTCTGCCTCTCCCTCCTTTCTCCACTCCTTTTTTGCGTCGTCAGAAGCCTTGGTCTCAATGTTGATATGAATGGCTCCTTTCCTGAGTACATTGGCAGCCTGGAAATGCTCGAAAATTTGCAAGTGATTAGTTTCCAAGGATGTGACCGTTTGCATTGTGCACGTGTGCTGTTGTCCTAGCAGCGATCCGAATTAGATGCAAGAGAATTAAGCTCTTGTATGCAGGCTGCGTAGAGGTTGCACACATTGGATTATATGGCAATAAGACCACTGCAAGGGTTGAAGTGCAGTTGTGCAAGGGGTGCTAGCCTAGACTTGAGCAACGAGGCAAGTGATTTACTCGACTCGTTCTTATTACTCGTATAGGGCAAGTAACGAGTCGGCCTTTTCAGGAAAATTACCCGCACGAGTCGGATCAAGTATTACTTGCTCCTAATCGAGTACTTCATTACTCAGTCCGAGTACTGAAGTACTCTTTTTTTTTGCACGAGTAACTAGTCGGGACTCGTCTCTAGGGTCAAAATTACTCGGACGAGTAATACTCGACTCGACTTGTTTCCAAAACAAGTCGGCTGAAAACGAGTTGAGTATTACTCGAATTGGCCTTTGCTCATGCCTATGCTAGTCCAACTATATATCTCCAGGAAGGGCTGCTGGGGCTGAAGAGGATGGAAGGTGAAGGACAAAAATGAGGTTACGAGGACAATGAGCATTTATGGGAAATAGGGGCACTGTGGGGTGGGGGTGACATGCAGACAGGTCATTACGAGCTGCTCATGGAGAAAGAGCGAAGGCACATGGCTGTCAACAATTTGCTCTGTTTTGGAAGGGACGGAATGCGTGATAGATCCACATTAGTCACCTGCTTGGCTCATTACGTGCCGCTCATGATGAGCCACCCCTGGCTGGATGTTGTTTGTTATTTTATCCACGTAAGTACGTATGGCTATATTCACTGTTCAGGAGTCCAGGGTTCGAATCCATGTACGGCCCTGGTGAAATTGCCCATTCCGTTTAGCACCCTCGCAGATTAGCTTGTCATCTCAGTTTTCATTGGGTCTTGGTTGTTGCTGTTCTGAGTTCATTTCAGTAAGTGTTGCAGAACTTAACATCCACTATGGAGGTCTTTCAGTAGTGCATTTACAAATACGCACACACACACGCGCGTGCGAGCACACACATACGGCGGTTCTATAACGGTTGGGCAGAAAAATCACTGACATCCTTCGATGCCACCTTGCTTCCCATCTCCTTTTGTCACTTCTCCTATCCCAATGCCAGAGATGTAGCTTCGATGCGGCTAACAGGGTCGATTCCATCCACCATTGGCAGACACACAAAGTTAACCACTCTGTAACTATGGCAAAAATGATTACATCAGTGTTATATTAGTCTGGATTTCTCTTTTTCAAAAAGGGGTTGATGCTGTTTGATAACATAATTGTATATTGACCCAAAGACCATAGAGAATACTCCCCACACACATCCGCCCGCGCGGCCTCCACCTCCACCACCACCCCTTCCTTCCCACTCCCTACTGCTGCTGCTGCTGCCGCCGCTGCTGACGCTGCTGCTTCTGTGCTATCTGCGACCAGAGAGTGTTTTAGTGGGGGGTGTGTGCGACAACGTGGAAGGGGGTCATGAGGCATGTGTGTAGGAGAAGAGTTAGACGGACTAGATGGATGGCATGGCAAGAGTATAAGTGTGAGTTGTGGTTTTGGGATTACGAATATCATAATTTGGCTTCGGTATAGCTCACCAAAAAAAAAGAAGGAAAGTGATTCAGGCAAGGAGCCTTTAGACAGATCCATAATGGGGGGAGAAGATGGAAGGATAGAATATCGTGCATAGAATATCGTGCATGCTCGAGGACGAATGGATGGGAGTCGGAGGGTGTACATGGATGGATTTTTTAAGAGATATGATGGGTGAATAGATATATGCCAAGAGAAGGAAAGACAGTTCAGGACCAGAGGAAGAGTGGGTATTTAAAAGAGGAGCGGTAGGGGAGAGAGAAAGTGCGAGTTACGGAGGTGGGAGAGAAGGGTTGAACATGGAGAGAGGAGATAACGGAGAAGGAGTCGCACCCTTGCTGTCCACCTTGCTTGTAGGGGCAGCCTTTGAGAATGCCTCCCCCCCTCTGTGCCTCCGCCACAGCAGTGCACCGATCAGCGTTGCCAGCAAGAGAGTAGCCACGGCAGCAGCAGCAATGCTGGGAATGGCTGCTGTGGACAGACCCCCTTGCGATGCAGGGTTGGCTTCTGAGGGGGGCGCTGCAGGTACTCATGTGGAGGGGGTAGGTGGAAGGCAGATGATTCAGGCACAGTAACAGAATTGATTAACAGCATCAGACAAGAGATGTGAGTGTGATTGCAGGGTGTTTTTGAGAATTCTAAAAAACACCCTGATTCAGGCACAGTAACATCATCGAAAAACAGCATCAGACAAGAAATCCGGGTGAGATTGGCCGTCTTAAGTGAACCACTCAACTGTGCATGGACAGGGAACGCAAGACACTCGAATCCTCAACAGCAGGTATTTGAAGCACATGGTCGTACCTGAAGGTGCTGCCATACCTGTAGACATAGTACTAGGTCGACCCGCCTGATCCAACCAGTTATATTAAAACCAAATCAGGTGCACGTTGGTTCAACCCGAGCCCGGATCAAGACCCGACCTAGACAGGCCGACCCTAAACACCTGGGTTGGCCATGTCGGGACTTCGATCCATTCGGGCCAGAAATACTAGATCGGGTCGGGTCGATCTGCTCATAGGAAGGGCCATGTCGAGACTCCGACCCATACCTGGAGGCGGCGCGACACAGATGGAGCAGAAATCCGGGCATGCCTTGCAGAAGGCACTGTTGAGGTGCTGCTGAACCTCACAGCTGATGCCGCTTGGCGGGCATGTGAGTGATGTGCCATTCAGATTCCTGCAGACAAACAGGGCATTGTGACTGATGCTCATCAATTCGTGGTTATTCCTACTTGGTTACGCTTTGCTATTACAGAAGCACTGTCCTTGATGGAACATAACAATGTGTAACGTTTTAGTCATGGTACAGAATGGAGTACACTGTGCCACACGTCACGCTGCACCACACGTCACGCTGCACCACACGTCACGCTGCACCACACGCCACGCTGCACCATACATGGCAAAGAGGGGTACAGGGCAAAGAGGCATACAGGTCAATGAGCTTGGTGAGGTTTCCCAAGGAAGGAGGGAGGATCCCAGAGAAGAAAGTCTGCTGAATGTAGCTGCAACGAAAAGAGGTGCGTGGGAGAGAGGTGTGTGGGGGAGAGAGGTGTGTGGGGGAGAGAGGTGTGTGGGGGAGAGAGGTGTGTGGGGGAGAGAGGTGTGGGAGAGAGGTGTGTGACTGTCGTTCAAGCACACTTTTAACCATGTGAGACCATGTGAGACCATGTGAACTGATATCTTCCAGCCTTGGCCCAGGAGCGCATTTGCAACAAATGTGATGATCCCTCTATATTGAGTTGGCAACAGTACCTAACACAACCAGGCACCAGTTCGGGAATCAACGCCATTCAAGCTCCGGATTATAAAAGACCTCAAACAACTCGCCATTGCTATTTGTTCTTCTCGTTTTCTTGATCAATATACGTAGGAGAAAACAGGTCCAACTTCAAGGCAGCGACTTAGAAATTGAGACTGGAACTCAACAAAGAGCTCAATATCTTATGTACGCAGCCTGAATAGAGACCCGTATGGCTCAAGCGGCGCAAATTCTCACGACAACCAGGCCGTTTTGAGGAGGTCTATTTGATGTTGGCTGAACCCAGACCAGTCCATAACGGGCCCACTTAACCAGGCTCTAACTGATGCTCATGAGTCATGCCTAAGGTCTACCGCACACGATGGAAGTGACAGGGAAAGCACATCCACTTACAGTGCGCTCAGTCTTGTCAGCATGCCGATAGACTCTGGAATGCTGCCATTCAGTTCATTGATAGAAACATCCCTGAAGAGGCCAGGGAGTGCAAAAAAACAGGTTTGAATGAGCAAAGAACCATGGAGGCTGGAACTCGTTTTGGTTTGGAGTGAGTCCAATTGCTCCTTGAGAAATTATGACAGTCCAGCTAAGAACATCTCTGGTAACACATTACAATGAATATGGGGAGGCGAGGTACGTTGCAACGAGCCCTTTCTTTGCATAAACGAATTCAGGTATGATCAGACAGCCTTGGATATCTTGCCATGAATTACAGTAAGGTCGGATTCGTGAGTCTGCCAATGGTGGATGGAATCGATCCGGTTAGCGCCATCAAACCTAAATCTCTGCCGCCGGGCAGGCATGGGAGGAGTGTCATCAAGAGAAGGGAAAACTAGATGAAGGTTCCAGCAAATGCATAACTGACAGATTTCCAATGAGATGAAATCAGCAGCAACGCATATTTACTTGAATCCAGAACCGCACGCAACAATCCAGAAAAAAAAAGAGCATAGAAGATGACAAGCAAACGTCCGAGGTGCTGAAGGAAAGGAAACCACAATCCTGCCAGTGTTGTCCTATATGTTTTCGAAGCCCAGAGCTTCAAAAGCTGATTCTATCCATACGGAGTTTGATCATTTACTCTATGCATCTTGCATACATGCACTTCATTTTCTCAATGCAAATTGGATACATGAACTTCATTTGTTCTTTGCAGCTTGCATACATGAACATCATTTACTCTATGCCGAATCTGGTTGCTGCTAGCACAACAGCACATGTGTCGTTCACAGTGGGTCACAACCTCAAAAGCCAGCAACGTACAGTGTCTCAAGCCTCTCCAGGCTGCCAATGTACTCTGGAATGGGGCCATTCATGAAACGATTGAAACCAAGGCTTCTGGAGTAGGGAAGGGGGAAAGGGGGGGAGGGCAGGAGGGAAAACAATGGGGGGGAGGAAGTGGGGGTGTTTCAGCGCGTTTAGTGGGTTAATCATACGAGTTAGATGGGCAAAAAAACTTGTGCTGATATGGCTCATCTCAGCTTTTTTGGGTTCTTGGTGGGCTGGCCACTACAAATGCCTACCTAATACGATTAACAGTTTGCGGATGGCAGCAGCTGCGTAACGATTATTGCAACAAAAATAAAGGGCAATTCTCGCAACAATACACTTTACCTACTGATTGTGGCCACAATAGTTGGCGTAGTATTGGTCCTTGCAGCTAACGGCTTTTATGCAGCTAACGGCTTTTATGCAGCTAACCTAAGATGGCCTATAGCATTTTTTAGGACTACGTTAACATCAGTGGTAGCGCTTACTAACGCTAACACTAATAAACGTTAACAAATGCCCTTGACTAACGGCAGGCAGGGGTGAAAAAAAAAACAATGAAAAGAAACTACAGAACTTTACCCACTTTCGTGTTTGATAACTGGATGCATGGTGAGAACACATGTAGGTTGAGGACGTATGGAGAAAACAGATGTAGGTTAAGGACGTATCGAGAAAACATAATCCAAGTAAGTTTGAGTTTGTCGAGGGAGAAGTGGGGGAAAGACTGAGTTTAAAGAGGGAGCAGGCAGGCATGGAATGCACACGAAATTTCAGGCTGAAATATCGACGTGCAATTCCGTGCGGCCCAACTCATTTTGCTTGGAAAAAAGTCCTCCGTCTCACACCTAGCTGTTCAAAAACGTTAGCCCAAAACTAGACAGTCCTTCGTAACGTAGAAAGTACATAAACGTTCGTAAATGTAAGTCGACCTTGACGTTTAGTTTAGTGAAGGGTTTCGGGTTTAAGGTTTAGGATACTTACTGCATAGTTACTGGTTCTTGCACCAGCCTTTTCCTTTAACAAACATTCACTGCACACAGCAGTTGCGAAAATTAGAAGTTTTGCAACTAACAGTTTTCGGAGGTTGGTCAAGTTGACAAAACTTGAAGGAATGGAGTGTCCCAACGAGTTATGATCCAGAGACCTGGGGTATTATGAAGAGGCTAGCATGGTTGGTAAGGTGAGGGACTGACTCAGCATGGAAAAAAGATGTGCTTTAAGAACCTGACTTGATTAGATGTGTACTGTACACATATGGTTGTAGCCTGTGCTCTCCAGTCCACAACTCGTGGACGAGCGGAGGCAAGTGTTCCACGTTGCAAGTGAGCCACGGTACAAGTGAACCACGGTACAAGTGAACCGTTCCTACAGCCAACCACCGCAAGGACTGTAGCAGTGCTAACACGGTTGTTCTGTCCATACACCCTTCCATTCATATTCGTATGCTAGACCTGTTAGTGCTCACATACAGGCGAGTAAGGCTGGTGAGATTCCCCAACGACTGTGGAAGAAATCCTTGGATGTTCAGATCCGTCATGACCCTGGCTTGTGCAGACATGAATTTGGTCGGAAAGACAAGGAGAGGTGGATTAAAAAAATGGATACAAAAGGGGGATTGCACAGCGGCTCCTTTATCAGGTGGTGAAGATCACCAGAGAAGGTGGACTAATCTCTCAGATTCTCATTCGGGGAAAACCACCTACATTGCAAGCCCGTGACAAGCCCGTCTTGAAGCACGGTTCGTGGCAACACACACAGGCGTGTTTGATGCCAGGGCTACGCAGAGGTGCAGTCCAAGCAACATGCACACAATGACAGAAAATAATGATGGATTGGAGTAAAGCGTGTGTGATAGGCAAGGCAAGGCCTGGGCCAGCCTGTCGCAGGCACTTCACAGCCAGTGATAGGGGGGTCATAGCAAGTCGAGGGTTGCAATCCTCGCAGTGGAGCATGGCACCTGATGTGAAACATTTTAGTGCAACCAAGGAATCGCTGCTGGGGAAGCAGCTTGTTAGGTAACGGGTTGACCCTTGCTTCCCTCCCATGCCCCATGCATCGCTCCCATGTCCATGCTCCCTCCCATCCCATCCCCCATGCATCGCATACATTGCAGTGATCATGCCTTGCTCGTTGCACGTGATGTTCTGTGCACGTGGCTTCGGCCCATACGGCCCACACGTGGCTCCCGCCTCCCACCCCTCGAACTGCCTCCCCCACGCACCCTGACAGTCATTCAGCACAGGCACTGGGCGCCGCAGGTGGGCCAGCCGCACCCAAGTGAGGGCACAGCAGACGGGGGGGGGAGCAGTCGTGGGAAGGGAGAGGAGGCGAATCGAGATTATGATAGACATGAGCACAACACAAGCCGAGCCAGGTTCGCCTCCAGCCAGCTGTGGCTAGCCTTGCTTTTCAGCTCAGACTAGCCAAGCCAAGGCGAGCTAACTTGTGTTGAGACTTGGCTCGGGCATTGTATCGGAGAGAGCGCAGGGCTCCAGGCGACTAGTCTTTGCTCGACTCGAGCTGAGCCTGGCTCGTCAGGGCAACACTGTACTAGCCTAGTCCAGATCTACGGACCTCTATTGACCTAAACCTAAACACGAATCTTAGTCATAGCGCAATAATGTGGAGGGAAGGGAGGGAACCCAACGATTCGCGCCAAAGCCGATTTCCTGTCAATGGGGACATGAATGGGCGGAAACCAATCCCAGACGCACGAATATGACAAACGCCTAAAATTGGTGTCGAATACGACACCAATGACGCACCACAACAATTTCGCCAGATCGTAAACAGGTGAGCCTAAAATTTGCGATGCAGAGGAACCCTTACGTGTAAGCCCCACAGGCGTTGCGTCCCCCCTGGTGCCAACATCCTCGTTGGTTCAGAACATCAGCAAAAGACCGTTCGCTGGGTTTGCGACCGAGATACCACATTCAACTTCTCACTACTAGTAGGAAATGTGACCCAGCCAGGTATCGAACCCAACGCTCTAATACCAGTATAGTGCTTCGCTACACTGGGACAAAACGAGGGACCTATTTAAATGCGGGGAAAGGAGGGGAAAGGGAGAGATGAAAGGACGAAAGGGGCAGGGGGGAGGGATCGAAAGGATTATCCCTACTCGCATAGTACAAACCAATCTTTCTCAGCTGTTATCCTCATACCACACCACAACAAGCCGAGTACACTACTGAGGATGGAAACGAGCCCGAATCTGTGCAGTAACGTTGAGGAGGTGGGCGAAGTGCACGCACGGTGTCTCGAAAAAACAGCAAAATTTAAGGTGGCAGCTCGTGGCGCGAGACTCGCGGCACGACACTCCGGCGAGCAGGCGAAAGAGCGGACCTTGGGAGGAATTGATAATCACGCTGCGGACTGGAGAGCCGGCGAACATGAGGATGCACAGCGCGACTCGCGCGCTTAACTGACGACTCAAGCGGCCCATCAGTGGATCCGGTCGGAGAGCAGCAACGCACCAACTGAGCCTCCGCAACCCTCCCTTGTATCCGTGACGACTACGAAAAAGAGTTTTGACTCTAAAAACCTGCTAACGCGTAGAGCCCGTTGTGTTCTAGTCTCGACTTGGCTGCTATCTGCCCTGTTTGGCAAACTTAGGACGTGTAACTTTTTCCGTCCGTACCGTATGCGAACAGGGTATCCCGCTCATGGTACGTACCGTCCAAGCTCGTTATCGAATTGCAGATCATGCGGGTTTTGACGAGATCCGGATACCAATTTCGTATACGGTACGGACGGTCAAAAAGAGAAAAAGTTACACGCCCTTATGAGCCACGGATTGTTGGCAGTAGGACACAGCATTTCGGTTTGGTACGTTTCGGCTTGTTTTCATTGGGTTCTAGATTGTTCAAGGTACAAAACAAAGCGGTCAAGCACGTTTCGAGGAAGAGAAGCCACGAACCACCCGTCCCTATCTGTTGACCAGGAACGACCACATGGAACCCCATATGGCAACCCTATATACGGTGCTTTCTTTCACATTTTTGGGTTGAGCAGCAATAGCACTCCCATATAGTTGGCTCTACATTTTGGAAAAATCATTTCAAGAGTGATCTTCGAGCACCCTGTGCAGCATCTATTGGAACAAAACTTTGAGACCATGTTTGAGAGAATTCCTGAACTAGTGGATAAAAATCACTCTTGAATGCGATATCTTGAACGATGAAACCACTGTTGAAATAACCATTGGTTATTATAACATTCCTGAGGTTCTCCCTTAGCGCACCGCTTCATAACGAAGCAGCACGCCTGTACCAGTTCCGCGTTAGCTCGTATATAGCACGCAAAGGACAACAGTCGCAGAAAAGTCAATGGTTACGACTGTTGACTGTCCCACACCACAACCGTTATCGGAGGCTACGCAGTGAAACATGGTAACCGTAAGGCTCGCAATAGTAATTGCAACTGTAGCGATGCCTGCAAAACAATTAATAAGGGAATACGTTACGATATGGAATTGTTGCATGATATTCCTGTAGTAACGAAATCTCAAAGTTCTGTAGCGGAATGTTTTGATAGTGAGAGAAATGTGGGTACAAGGCAAGTGTAGAGAGAGTCCTGTACCCCCTACTGTGATGTCAAATTACATTCGTATGTGTAGGCTGTAGTGGGGTAGCCTCTATTGAGTACAACACTTTAGGTCAAACCTAGTACTTGTACTCATGCTTGCTTGCTAGTCAATCATTCCTGCACAGTTGATCCTGACATGATATTCAGAGCAGGAAACCTGTTAGGTTTTTAGGGCCCATCGATCGTTCCGCTAGTTCCTGCCCGAAGCGCCCTTGCGCTGTCCGGCCCTCTCGCACAGTGTCACGCTGCCCTGCAGCTACTCGCACTGACTGCCCTAGCGCGCTGCCCTGCTGTCACGCGCGCCCCTGCTGCCCGCGAGCAGCCCTTGCCCCGCGCGCCACTGCTGCCTGCGAGCAGCCCCTGCCCCGAGCGTCCTTGCTGCCCGCGAGCAGCCCCTGCCCCGCGCGCCACTGCTGCCCGCGAGCAGCCCCTGATCCGAGCGCCCCTGCTGCCCGCGAGCAGCCCCTGCCCTGCGCGCCCCTTCTGCCCGTGAGCAGCCCCGCAGCCCAGCGCGCCCCACAGCCCTAAACGCGCCAGCGCGCCCCGCTGCTAAACGCGTCAGCGCACCCCGCAGCCCGGTGCGCCCCGCAGCCCAGTGCGCCAGTGCGCCCCGCTGCTAAGCACGCCAGCACGCCCCGCAGCCTAGCGCGCCAGTGCGCCCCGCAGCCCAGCGCGCCAGCGCGCCCAGCTGCTAAGCGCGCCAGCGCGCCCCGCAGCCCAGCGCGCCAGCGCGCCCCACTGCGAAGCGCCCCAGCGCGCCCCGCTACTAAGCGCGCCAGCGCGCCCTGCAACCCTAAATAGTAATAATAATAATAACAAAACAAAAAAACAAAAGAAAACCCCAGCGCGCCCTGCTGCCCAGCGCGCTGCTGCTGCACACGCTGCTGTTAGAATCTAGAATAGAACGAGAATGCATGAAACTAGGTAGGAGGGGGATACAAGTAGGAAACCCTAACAAAGCTGTACCCCCTAAGGCTAAACCCACTATAGCCTACACAATATAAACATATAATGTTTGACACACCCCCATAGGCTAAGTGGGAGACAACCAGATGGTCACAAGACCAGTCAAAGCAAAGCAAAGCAAGCTCAGGGTGGATCTCAAGGAAACCACACAAATTCTGAGCACAAGCAAGTGGTCACAAGACCAGTTCACATGCAGATTGATAGTATAACAAGAGATACAGTGATCACAACCTAGCAAGAGTAAACAAGCAAGTATATATACAGAGATCACAGTACAAGCAGAGTCAAGAAGTAAGCAAGTGAGGCCCAGTAGGCACGAGGCCTAGAACAGTACAGAAGCGCTGATGGTCACAAGGCTGAAGCGCCTTGGTGAACACATCAGCAGTGTTGGCCCGAGTGGCCACGTAACGCAGACGAAGCTGACCGCGCTGCTGCAGCTCTTGAGCAAGGAAGTAGCGCAGAGCGATATGCTTCGTTCTGTGCTCCAGTCTGTGCTCCTCACACAAGGCAATGGCAGCCTTGTTGTCGACGTACAGCACTGGAGGAGAACGAGGCCGCTCTCCCAAGTCGGTCAGCAGGTAGGTGAGCCAGCGTAACTCCTGTGCAGCCATGGCTGTGGCGTAGATCTCAGCCTCACAACTGGAGCTGAGAACAGAAGACGAGCGTGTAGAACGCCAAGAAACTGAACCAGAGCCAAGGCTGAAGGTGTAACCCTGAGACGACCGCTGAGTAGCCTGGTCGTCAGCCCAAGACACGTCTGAGTGCCCAGTGAGTACAACTCGGTCTCGTCCTCCAAGCACTAGCCCCATGCCCGACGTACTGCACAAGTAGCGCAACACCCTCTTAGCGGCATCCATGTGCTCCTTCCGGTGACGGCCAGGAGCGACATAGCGTGCAAGGATGCTAAGAGGGTATGCAAGGTCAGGTCGAGTGCAGGTCATCAGGTACATGAGGCAGCCCACAAGCTCTGGATACGGGCCACTCGGCTCTACGGACTCATCCGAAGGCAGAGCTGAGAGCGAGTAACCGGTAGGCAGAGGAGTGGGCTGAGGCGAGGAGTACGTGAAGCGGAAGTGCTGAAGGACCTGCTGCACCATGTGTGACTGAGTCAAGGTGATGGTGCGCCGTGCTCTGTCCCGGGTGATCCGCAAGCCAAGATAGCTTGTCAGTTCACCCAGGCCTGTGCACGTGTGTCTCTTCTGCAGCTCCGACTTCACGTGGGCGAGTGCCGCAGTGTCAGCAGTGGCAAAGACCAAGTCGTCGACGTACACGAGGATGTAGAACGGTGGCAGCGAGGTGTCGGTGCGTAGAAACAGCGACGGGTCAGCAGTAGAAGGAGCGAACCCAAGAGCCGCAAGTGTAGTCCTCAGTGTGTCGTGCCACTCACGTGGCGCCTGTCGGAGACCGTAGACTGGCCGCCGGAGGCTCCACTGGGTACCAAGAGGGAAAGACCCAGTGAAGCCAGGTGGGCGGCGTAGCCAGATCTCCTCGTGCAGGCTGCCCTGTAGGAAAGCAGTGCTGAAGTCAAGAGAGTGGAGCTCGTAGTCACGCTGAGCGGCGACGTGCAGCAGAACCCGAAGAGTGGTCATCTTCGGGGTCGGGGAGAATGTCTGGAAGAAGTCAACTCCCTCTCGCTGACTGAAGCCTCGTGCAACGTAACGCGCCTTGAAGACAGGCGGAGAACCCGGCGGC